CTATGCGAGATGAATAATTCTTTACATACGATCCAGTTTTCAATTACTGCTTGCTTGAATCATAGAAAGAAGGTATTTAAGGAGCAACTGATACAGATTATTATTTTATTACTGATACAATAAAACATTCTCGAGATGAGATTCAGTGTGGTTAAACAAGTTTTTATGTTCTTTCCGAAAAGGGTATAGGTAAACAAGTAACTTGAATTTTACCAACTTTAATTTCTACTTTCTGAACAAGGTACCTGTTTCGTTTCCAAGACAGTGCGCCTCAAACCGGCAACCTTGAACAACCAAATATACAGTGACCGGTTAAATGTACAAGACCAATACAAAAGACTGAGAAAAGTTGGAACATATAAATGTACCACTTAGAAGAAACTACAACGAGACGTGGTGAGCTTCTGTAAAATCCTTCTCTTTGATCACTGCAAAGCAAAGAGGAAGAAAGGGTTAAGTTATTATACAGAAACAGACCATGATCATATAATATAAAAAATACCAACAATGTTTGTGAGAGTTGAGATCATACTGATTCAGTTGATCTTTGACATGATTGAGAGTGAACAACTGTGTCTGGGCTCCTCGTTGAAGCCACGTGCTGGCATGATTGTGAATCAGAGAAACTGCTCGTCACAGAACGATAAACATTAATATCTGAGGTAGCAGATATCTCAGAAGTTCCTGTCCTGGTTCTCATTGCAGTACCAACATTGACCTCACTTGATTCAACTCCAGATGTACTTGACTACAATGTGAGGCTAAAAGTTAGATAAACAAGTCAACCAAAGATGAGGTAATTCTAACTATTGAACCTTCAGTAGCAATGATTTAGATTTTGAATACTACAATTGATGCTCTACAAGATTGAAGGAAGTAAACATAAAAAGAAAATCATAATGAAGGAACATGCTCAATAATCCATACATTAGAGAAACCTTTAATCTGGACAATGATAATTGTTATGTCATCTGTTCGATTCACAAGTTCCAACCATAGTTTATATGACTCTTCAGTAATAGCCGCACATGCATCACGGGGATCTGTAAATTTTGCTGTCTACACCATCAAAGAAAACACATATTTATCAAGATTAATTAGTCATGCCAGAGTTAAAATTCTACAAAGTAATGCAACAGGGAAGTAAACATTGAATTTGGTATCTAGTAATGAGACAGGTTAGGGATGATTAGCAGCGAGCAGGGTAAGATTTTACATTTTTCTACTGAACAACTAACAATTAGATGAGTTGTGTGAACACTTCATATGCAAAGCACTATTGGCACTTAGCATATTTATCACAGGCTATTTAGAATTAAGGTTTGCATGATTACGGCAGTTAATGAATATGATAAGTGGATAGGTAGACCTAATTAACACATGGAATGTGGAGAAGCACACACCCCGCCCATATGATGAGCCCTTATGACAAACAATTGTTGTGCTCTTATTCATTTATATCTGCATGACTACCTGGTAAATGAAAAGTTATGCTATACAAGAAGCCTATGGTTATTGATTTCCTCATGAGACTATAACAGTTGAAGACTAATCTTATAAGGTGTTTCTGGTGGTGTATGTAGCTCTTCTTTAGAGAAAAGACTGCATAGATATTTGAAATACTCAAGAACCATAAACATAACTGCACTTGGAAAACATTAATTTTATCCTGAATTTCAAGCCAAAGTCTTCAATTGTAACTCGTATACCATTCATAAATAATACAATTTAAAATAAGTAGATGATAGGTTTTAACGATTATTATAGTGAGTCAGACTAAATCTGTCATCAATTTTTCAACCTAGGATGATATTATCTAAATACTAAGTTAAATATACACACTAAATTGCTGTTGATAACCATATTTGTGACCACTGTGTAAAGTAAAGTCTTCATAATCACATCACAGCCATAATTCTGCAGCATCAGACACGTTTGTTCACAGGTCTTTACAATAACAATGATCATGATGCAACCACAACTACGACTGCAATCACAATTTAAAGTTTGAGAGGTAAAAAAAGAACTAAGAGAGAAGGTTTCATATATCATACCATATCAACAACAGTTTGGCTTGACAAGAATTCAAATATGCCATCACTAGCAACAACAAAGAAGAGGTGATTAGGTGTAAGCCGAACAATTGACACCTCTGGAGTAGCAACCACACCAATTGTCTCTGCCAACCTATCCCCTAAACTCCTTGTAAATGCAGTTCCAGGATACATCCCATTTGGAAGCCACAACCTCGGAGGATCGCCATCCCAACTCTCTTCGTTACCCCAATGTTGGATACTTGGATCCTTGAGCCCTTCCACTTGATCAACACTCAACACCCTAGCTCCACAAAGTTTCACTCTCTCATATTCATCTCTCCGAAATGGTGTCTGATCAGAGGACAAGTCCTGTGCAATAATTCGATCCCCATCCTTAACAGCTAACACAGCTCTCGAATCACCAACATTAGCAACATAGAGGGTGTCTCCAATAACAAGCACCGTAATTCCCGTTGTGCCACTCATAGAATCATCAATCTCACTAGTATGCAATTCATGATTTGTTGCCGAGAAGGCAGAATTATAAGCTAGAACAGGGTCCTCCACCAATGCAGGGTCATCAGATAATTTTTCTACCAACCTATCCCTAACAAAGTTTGAACACTGACTACCAAATTGACCATGCCCATCAAAAACACCAAAGAAATGAATATTCGGGTTACCTTGAATTTGTGTCTTGATGCAAAAATTATCTTGGTTTTGTTTATCCAGTGAATCAGGGTAATAACCTCGCAGCGTGAGAAAGGTATATTCCAAAACAAAGTTGTGGGAAGGAACAGAAACATGTTTCAGTACTCTCTGAGCAAGTATGTTCTTCCTATGACTATGATGAAACCCAGTTTTTCTAGAGTCTCTATCCAATGAAGAAGATTCAACACAGCAACACTTGCCATGGGAACAACCCATGTTCCAAAGAGGGGTTATGTTATGCTATGATGTTTTGTAAACAATACCTGAAACTGAAAGCACAAAAAAAAAAAAAAACCAACTTTATGGTAAGTAGGAACTACAAATGTAGATGCTTGGAAAAACCCCTCCACATTATCACCTCCAAAGTAGACCCTTCGATCATTATTAGAAATTGGGGATCAAAAGCAAACCCTAGAGACACAATAAAACAAAATTAGAAAGTGTGAACTATGAATTATGAAATGCAATTGCAACAAAGAAGAAGGGTTTTGTCCAATTCTGCACAAAGAAAAGTCTAATTTGAGGTCAATAGATAGAGAAAACTAGAACCCTAAAAAGGTGGAAAGGTTTGGTTTCGGGTGACTTTTGAGAAAAAGTTGCAAGTGGTTTTACACCTAGAAAATGCAATGAAGGTTCTAGGAAAGAGACAAAAGAGAAGTGTACCTATCGTTGGGTGCACTGCACCTGCGGAGAATGGAAACAGTGGAGCATGAAGGAAAGCCCTAATGCAGAAGGAAGAGTACGAAAGAAAATTCACGAGAGGATTTTTGGAATGAGAGAGAGACGAGAAGAAGAAGATTTCTGATTCTATTGTGCGTTGCATTATTTTGTTTTGATTTCTTCCAGCATTAACAAAAACAACCTTTCTTCAAAAGATAACGTTACAAAAATCACTTCTTTACTTTATTTTTTCTTTTTATTAATAACAACATCAATGTCATCTTGACACCTCATTATTACATCAATACTAAACAGTATTTTTTAATAAAAATATAAATTTATAAATAGTAATATGAACAGTTGTCGTGAATAATAGTACATACACATGAAATGTACTCGTGAATAATGCTCATAAACACTACATATACAATGATTTTTTGGAGATAAAACAAGGTTAGTTAACGAAAAATAAAAAATTAGTTTATAAAATGATAAAGTTGATTAAAAAGCATTTAAATATTAAAAATAATTCAATAGTAAAATAAAGTTGGTTAATAAAAAGTAAAAATTTGATCAATGAAATGATGAAGTTGGTTAATAAATGTTTAGATATTAAAAATAATTTCAATAGTAGTAAAATGTTAGTTAACATAGTTATGAAGTTGGTTAATAAACGTCCGAATATTAAAAAAAAATTTAGTAATAAAATAAAATTGGTTAATGAAATGTAAAATATTGGTTAATAAAGTTGGTTAATCACACAATTTTATATCGGTAGCTCTTAATCTAAAAAAATATTTAAAAAAACATTATTAAAAAAATATTTATTATTATAATATTTCAGTGTTCAATGTATTAGTGAACAGTGAAATACGGTGTACTGTAAAAAATATAGTGTAAGAATATCATTTTTCTAGAAAGAATCACAAATCGTGCTTAACCCAAATACACCCAGAATAGAAAAGTTAGACTAGAACACATTAACTAAATAAAGCAAGGAGACGGAGATGTGGGCCAAACATTCAAGTTTAATAAATTATTTTCATCTGACTCAATAGACTTCGCTCCAAACCATTCCCACGACAAAGACTTAGCTAGAAAAGCAATTTCCAAAGTTCATTTGTGGCCTTCTTTGAACAAAGTCTTATTCTTGACTATCCAAATGGACCAAGCAGCTGATAATCAAAACATAAGCCTTTATCTCTTATTTGTTTTTCCTTTCAAATGAGTACCGAAAGACAACAAATGGTCCAAAATTGAGTAACAGTGAGACAAGTTGCAAAGACTTAACCATTCAAGAAGGAGCTACCAAACTCGCAGCCACAAGGCATAAAAGAAAAAGATGAACGTGAGTTTCTTCTAGACCCAAGAAAAGAGGACAAACGATGTCATGAGAACATGTTGTTGTACCCCCAAAATTTGCCCTCTCATATTTTTCCAAGATTTCTATCTTATATAGGTGGTCACAAGCACTTGATTAAAGAAAAAATAAATTTTTTGAAGATAAACAAGGCCTTTCGATTGGCATGTCAAAGAGTCTTTCGATTGACATCTTGACAGACTTCGATTGAGCACCTAACCTCCTCCAAGTTTGCTTCAAATTTTCAAGCTTCGATTGAAGCCTTGGCCTGTTGCTTGTTTGTTGTATACAAGCTTCGATTGGGCATGTGTTTCCTTTGAAATAACTTCCTTCGATTCAAAAGGGAAGGGCCTCATGTTGGTACTCCTTCGATTCAGAAGTTAGTAGCTTCCTGCTGGCTTCTTTCAATTCACAATGCAGGAACTTCCTTCATGCCAGCAGGCACAAGGCAATGTCCTCCTGCATAATCAATCCAATCAACTTCGGACAAGGCAGCGAATGGACAAGATGCTCATAGACACGAAGGCTATAGCGAAATAGGAACCACATGGGATTATTGCACATAGCTATCTTTTCTTTGTATCAAATTTTCATATTTTACGATAACATTCTCTTACTAGAATGTTCGTCTCATTGTACAAAAATACTTGTTCAAAGTTAATACAAATATACCCCTTTGAAAGAACAAAACTATCTATTTTTTCTTTATTCCTGTGTTTTGTTTACAAATACGTCCAATGATTTATTTTTGAACATATGCATTTGAACGTAACTACTGTTTACAAATGAACGAAAAGGAACAAAAATAGAAAGACAATCACTAATGGCTTTAAGAAATAGGATAATATCTTTAGACTATTCCATAAAATCCCCCACAGTGCGCAAATTAATGATATCAAGCTCTCTTATATCCCCGGCGGAACAAAATTCCAGTTTATCACTCCCTAGTAAAAGTCGCCCAATTTCTCAAGATTCCCCAACAGGATTTCACAAGCAATACACGACGTTTCCCTTACAACAGAGTTTATTTCTCTTCCAAATAGAAGCTCATCAACTCATCAACACTTCAAAACATGAAGACTTACACTCCACGTCCCCAACAACAGTCAGAGATTTATTTTCCCTAAATCCAACAGTGTTACAGCAGCATAGCTTACATGCCCAAACATCGCATCCATACGTCATGACATTGATAACACGAACGCATACAACTGTTTACCTGAGTATTTGGTAAATAACCGCTGATCCTCCAAATGGTTACTTATTTGGTTACTCGCAGGATCGATCAGATTGATCCTAGGACATAGGTTGATTTTGAAGTTTTGATTAAGTTGGATATTAGTTAAATGACAATAAAATGAAGAGGCTTTAAATAAATTGCATGAAGAAAGGACTTGGTAAAGTAAATAAGGCTTTAAATGAAAGGGTTCGACAGGAAAGTAAAGAGGAAAGCAAGTAAATTTCTGGAAAAGTAAATGACTTTGATTAATAAAGTTGGTGTTTCACACATACATTTCTCAACAATTCTTTCTCACACGCTGGGTACTCGAATCTATATGAGTGACTTTGTATAGAATTGTGAACACCCGCGAGAAACTACATGACTACTATTATTTATACTAAAACATCTCAAGTAACCGTCGGGCAGTTACACTGCTTCGAGATGATTCCACTTGGCACGTTCTCAACGTTCGACGCTCCAGATCTTCGCACGTCACACTTGGTAACCGCTGGAAACCGTTTTCCCTCCAAACGCTTGAATTTCAAACTGCTCCACTCTGAACCATCGAACAACTTCGTCGAGAAGCATCTTCGACGAGAAACTCCCTCGACGTCGAAGGCAACCAACTTCTCCCTTGGAAGAAATCTTTTAAGTACCTTGCCATCTTTCGATGGGCATTTCGACAGACCTAGCTAGTCGAAAACATCCTTCAGCTTTAATGGCTGACATTAATAAAACAAGGGTGTCGAATTTAGGAGCCAACAAATTGCCCCCCAAGAATGCCTTATTTCGACTCTGAAAGAAAAAGGCATTCTTTGAAACGCCATTCGACACCTGTCTTTTCACGCTTAGTCACAAATTAAATTGTGCACTTTTTGTTGTCTTCTACCAACCACTGGCAATCCCAAGAAAACCATCATTTATCCGTACCTAAGACGTCACTTCAGTACGGCGTGCAGTGCCAAACGTCATTTCAGAATTTGTCATTATGACAATTCCCAAAAACGAGGACGCACGCTGCGTCCCTCTATTTCTGCAGAACGGCTAAAACAACAGGGGGATGCCACGTGTCCCACTATCTCCTGCAACATTAAATGGCATTTAATGTCCTCGGTTTTGGGGATTTTCCCCCACTACTATAAATAGCAGTAAGTACCCCATTGTGGGACTTTTTACGCCATCTAGCTTTCAGACTTCTCTATTTTCATACAAACTTGTCATCTTTGCAAAAACCTTTCCTCCTTCACTTCATCTTCAACCTCATCATTAACAATGGCATCTGGTTCCAGTGCTCCTAGCGCTACCGTACCATCTGGAAACGTCAGACCTAAGGTTTTCGTCACCGCTCCAGTAGTAACTTCTACGGGCCAACGAAGGGTCCCTGAACCCTTGGACATCGCCGTACGTGATGCTTACTCACACCACCTTATGATCCCAGTTGGATATTCCAACCAGATCTTTGCTATGTCTGGCCCCTTGTTTCCAAGTATTGCTGAGGCCATGAAGATCAAGAGTTATTTTCCGGTAGTTGAGAGACTCAAACCGGTTGCATGCGCCAAGAAAGATGCAGAGGATAATGAAGACCCTGCTAAAGAGAAAATCGACCTTCGTTTCTTCAACAAAGGTGTTAGGGCTTTCAGGTCTGGCCCTAGCCTCACTCCTGATTACGTTGCTTGGCTGGAAAAGATGGAGAAACGCCAAGCTTCGATCTGGAAAGATATGGGGATTTTCGACCTGGTGATGCTGTCGAAGACAGGTTTGAACTATTCTCCGGAGATGTTGATAGCTTCTCTACTTTTCTGGGACTACTCCCATTTTACTTTCCATCTTCCCTGTGGGATGCTGACTCCTACACTCTTCGATGTGGCCGCTATCACTGGCCTTCGACCCACCGGGGACTACTTCGATCCGGAGGAGATGTCGGAGGATCAAATTGGATTCTCTGCCACCAAACCAACCTATACCACCTTCATCAATCACTACCACGACAGGTCGACAGATGCTGTGTCGGATGTCGAACACATAGCGTTTCTAGCCTTATGGCTGACTCGCTTTGTATTTTGCTCGAAGTCCTTACAGGTGACCAAGAAGATGGTCACTCTCGCCACTCAACTCCATCATGGCCAAAATATATGTTTGGCAGAACTGATTTTGGCTAGCCTCTATGATTCGATTAGTAATGGGGCAACTCTTCTAAAAATTATCGAGAACAGGGCCAGTTTACTACTTACTGGGCCTTTTTGGCTGCTCCAACTGTGGCTCAATGCCACCTTCGAATCTTTCTTGCCTAAGAAGGTTCAAATAAATGAGCAGGCTCCAGAGATAGCGAACAGACGCGTCGAAGGAACCAGACTGGCTCTGTTGACGCCTATGGAAGATGGACTGGAGCTTCAGCAAACTTTCACCAACTTCGTTCTGATGTTTGCTCGAAGGAAAGAGTTTGTTTCGACTATGGCTCCGTTTGCTCGACGGAAGGTAGGCCTGGCATGGTTCACAAGGCCACATCCAAGGACGTCGAGTGGTCCTCAAGTTGACGAACATACAATAATGTGGGAGGCGTTCCTCACACCAAGGATCATGC